AAAAACAAAAACGAACACCAATCTTAGATAAACCAATCATATTCATTTGAAAGGACTTGCTTTAAAATTCCATGAGAATTTTGGAGCTGGGTCAGGAACTGGGATTTTGGGGAGTATTTTTCTGGCTAGCAAACTGGGAATTCCACAGGTATGACTTGTTCGCAAAGATGCTCTGTTACTGACAATCAGAACACTTCTTCCTAAGACCCCTACTCCTTAAGTTCCATTGTAATGGAATAAAAGACCCCTCTTTTGTCCTTAAGTCATGTCCCTAAACTTAGGGCATGCTTTTCTTGTCTTCTCTGTCTTAGCCAACTCAGCCATCCCAATGGGTTCCATATTTAGTTTGGAGGCAGAACAGGTGGTAATCTGAAATCAACGTTTCACATAAGTGAGAAATCAGAATTTAACTCTTGGCAGGACTGGGGGTCCTAAATTAATGTAGTCCATTATGCTTTTAGGCACAGTAAGTGTCTTTTCTTCTCTCACCTCCCAACTCCACTGCTGACATCTAAGTCATTAGGGTTGTGATGTAGAACTTCGAACAGGGACCTGGAATTTCAGTCACCTTATTCTGTGGGTATGTTATTTTACCTCAGTTGACTTTTCATGCTCAGGGAGTGGGGAGAAAGAGTTGTATGCAGAAAGGATAAATAGGAGTAGAGGGAAGAGGACTGAAGAAAGTGGACAAAAGAGTTTGTCTGTCAGAATTACACATTTGATAGACTTCCTTGGTGTGTTTGGCCATTAAGGTAGAATATCAAGGATTTTATCCTTCACATTTAAGTGCAGGGCATGATTTAGAACCTATCAGGAAGAGATGGCTGATAAGCATTTTTTTCCTGTCATCCAGTTTTCCTCCTCTACTTCCCTCTTTTGTCTTTCTGCCTCCGCTTTTCACATATAACTTCACTCTGAGTGTGAGGCATAATCTAGTTCCTTGTTTGAACTGAAAAATTAGAAACAAACCAATACCTAACTCTGCAAAGCTGAAATGATAAGCAGTTGTGTGACTGTAGATGGGGAAATCCCAGGATGGTGATTTTGTTAATATCGTAGAAGCTTTACTGCAGATTCGAGGGCAGGGTCCCATTGTGTATAAGCAAGGCCTCCTGTGGATTATTTTTTCCCCCAGGGCCTTTACTGTCTTCAGGAAATGCTTCCTTGTGCACAGGCAGTACACATACAAACTTTGGCATTTCATGGTGAACCTCTCCACTCCTGGAGATGTGCTCCTCAGCAAAGGCTGAGGGAGAAGGGAAAAAAAAAAACAGATCAAAGCCAGCTTTGAAGTGAGTATAATTTTTGGAACGCTGCTAAGAGTATAACACACAGTTCAGCAGGAAATTGTCTCTGGGTCTAGCTTTGTAGTTGCTCCCCAGGATTGATGATTTCCCTGACCCAGTGTCAAAGGTGTTGTGTGGAACAGTGGGTATAGATGAAGATTACTGACTCTCATCGATCGGATTTAAATTTTTTACCAGGTCCTTTGGCTCCAGCTCTCCAAACAAAAATAGAGTAAAGGCAAAACCCCCAAGAGAAACCCGAGCTATTTCCACTTATCCCAGGCTGGTTCCTAGATCAAGCAAAAAGGACAGTAATGGTCTATAGTTCCTCCTTGCAGGACTCAATACTCTCAACAATGAGTTTTCTTGGAACACTAAGACTTACAAGGAGAATCAACCCCAAAAACTAATTCTAGAAACACAATGCAACACCAAATTCAGGAAACTGTTTTCTTTGAGGGGATAAAAAAAATCTATAAATTTGTTGTGGGAAGAGAAATAAGAAGCCAACAACTTTCCGTGCAGAGCACAAAGCTTGGCTCCCCCCCTTTTCACCTCCCCCCCTTCCCTTCCTCCCTCCCTCCCTGTTTCTGTCTCTGTCTCACACACACAGTGAAGTTTCCAAATATTCTGTTCCCTTAATCTATATTTACAAAATCAGAGTAGGGGGAAAGAGGTTGGAGAAGCTGGAAGGTGGAGTTAGGATGGATAATGAGTGACTCCAGGAAGAGATAAGGAGGCTCAATGATAAAACTAAAGACCCCAAGAACTGCAGGGGTCTGTTGGAGAAGCAGCTGAGATCAGTGCCAGCAGAGATGAGTTGGTGGTTAGTAGAAGCATTTAAGAGAAAGAATCAATAACAACAAAATTATATAAAGTAAGGGGAGGGGAGGAATCTACGTTTCCAAGAACCAATTAAGATATCTTGATGAGAACTTTTTAAGGAAGAGATATGACCAATATGCTGTCAAACTACCTCTCCCACCTCTATGACACTAATCTATATTTACTGAAATAACATTCTAGGGTTTACAAAACAATTTCCTCACAAGAACCCTATGAGGTAAGTAGTGTTTCAGCCCCGTTTTAGAGATGGTGACACTGAGGCACAGACAAGTTAAATGACTTGTGCAGAGTTAACAGAGTTAGAACTCAAACTCAGATCTTCTGTCTCTAAGAACAGCATTCTTTCCACTCTACCAGCAGTTCTCAATTTTTGGGGTCTCAAGACCCCTTTATATTTAAAAATTATTGAAGATGACCACCACCCAAGAGCTTTTGTTTGTGTGGGTTATATCTATTGATATCACCATTATTAGAGATTTAAAATTGGTATTATTAAATAGTTTTGACTTCCCAGATTTCCAGAAAGAGTCTCTGGTTTCCAGACCTCACTTTGAGACCTAACCTCACTATACAATACTATCTTTCTATGGACTACAATTCAATTCTATTTAATTCATACAAGCATTTGCCAAGTGCCAACTATATTTCAGGCACTGCTCTAGGAACCAGAGATACAAAAAAAAAGAATGAAAAATAGTTCTTCCTCCCAAGGAGCTTCTCAATGAGTGAACGAAACATTTAAATATCTATATATCTATATCTATATCTATCTATATATCTATATATCTATACACACACACACACACAATAAAATTTCAGGTGGCAAGAGAGAACTAAAAATACAAAAGAACAGGGAAAAGTTTCCTATAGGAGGTGACATTTGAATTAAGCCTTGAAGATAGTTAAGGATTCAGAGAGGCTGAGGTAAGGAACAAGTGATGTGTGTGAGAGTATAGAAAAGGGAATGGGTTCAAGAGATGTTTTGGGAGTAGAACTGAAAACTCTTGGCAATTAATTCAATATGGAAAAGGGCAAGGAGGTGGGGGAAAGAGTAAAGAAATGAAGAGAACTCCAAGGTTGAACCTAGGTGACCAGAAGGATGACAGAAGAGTGGAGTCTGAAGAAGGCACAGGGTTTTTGGAGAAAAGATGGGTTCCATTTTGACTTTACTTTTTATATTTTGTTTCACACCCTGTATGATGCATACTTTCCTTTGTATATGGTGAGATGGAGGACCACTAGGTCTTACTCTCTATCTTGCCAGTGCATCCTAAGGTCTTCCAGGCTTTACCCTCGGCCTTGGCTTTATGCCCTTCAGACCCTGGCAATGCCATCTGACCTAACAACACAAGCTAAGGACCCACAGCTTTGCTATTTGTCCTGCAAGTGTACTGTTAGGACTTCCCTACCAATCTGATCTGAGTTCCTTGAGATCAAGGATTACCTAGCTTTTACTATTTTTATCCCTATCACTTTGCCTAATGTTTGGTAAGTACTTAATAAATTATTTTTTTTCATTTGTTTACTATATCTATGACTAATTTAAAACAAACAAACAACCCAATTCTACTCTCTGGAGCCAGGTGCTAGTTACAGATCATTCCCCTATTCTTACAATTTATAGTTCAGGAATGAGGCTGACTTAATTTGTGCAAAACAATCATGAATCTGTATGAATGGGATTCAGGATGGGATCGAGGACTAGTCTTAAGTAAAGTTAGGGAACAGGCAAATTTATCTCTGGCATCCTTCTCTTCTTTTGGTCCCTTTAACTCACACCACAGAGATGTCTCCTTAGACTACTTAGGGGTAGCTCTGACCATGGTGCTGACTGAAGAAGTCATTGGCAGCCAGCCATGCCTATATGCAGGAATTTACCACTACTTCTAAAGCTATAGCAACAGTCATAGAATACACTGAGTCACTGTCAAATGGCACAAGGTCAGTCAGCCCCTGTATAATAACCAATTTCAAAACATCAGTAGTTGGTCTGATGCTTATTAGTTTTACACATAAGGCCAAATAAATATTTTATGGAACGTGAAACAATGAGACTTGTTATCTTCCAGCACTCCCAAACCTTGTGGCCCCTCCATTCTTCCCTATTTCTGTTGCAGGTACTACTATTTTCCCACTCACCTAGATCTGAAAAACCAGCTAGTCAGTGCCTGGTGACTCAAAGACACTAGACAAATCCACTTCATCTCCACTGATTTAACACAATGAGAAGGTACCAGTAGCAGTCTAGTGATATAATCTGTCTGTTGCTGTGGACATCACCCATTCCTCAAGCTGCAGCTTAGCATCCTCCTTTGCCACCTTATAAGCAACTAGTGAAGAGGAGAGAAAGAGGGAACTTTCTTAAGATATTTCTTGTCTTATGGTAATGAGGATCTCTGGAGGCATTATGGGATGGGTAGTCAGGTTGGAGGAAAGAGGAAAAATCTCTCTATTCTTTCTAGTTGCAAAAAGCTAGCCAAGGGAATACATCTCTTATGTTATTGTCTATGTCAGCTCACAGGCAGAGGCTTTGTTTTAATTTCTCAGTCACAAACTCATAATAGATCAAAAATGAAGATACTCAGAACCTTGAGGAGAGTCTCTATTCAAAGTTGGCAATAAGGGGATTGAGGAATGGGAAAATGTTTTTACCATTTCAAATGTGGTGCCAATATCCTGCAGGGAAAAAAGATAAAAGAGAGCTGCTGCATAAATAAATATGCTTTGTAACACCACTTAAACTTATTCTTCCTGCCTGATAAGAAAATACAGTGGGTGACAGCATGTAGAACTTTCTTCTTCCGCCATTCTGTCAAAGTTTATAAAACCAACTGATCTTTGGCAGGGAATCAACACACCAAAATGACATGCAAAAGAGTAGGACTCAGCTCATTAGAACTTAGTCAAATGCTCCAGGGATTTCTAGGGTATCTCGATGCCAGGTTGCACTAAGAAGAAGGGAAAGAAGACTGAGGGCAATGGAGTCAGGCAGCCCAGAAAGTCTGCAATAAATTTGGAGCACATGTAATGCACATAACATAAAGTAGATGTACACTCTTCTAGGTGAAGCTACAAAGCATTAGAGCAGAGCTGGGATGCTGAAGAAAACAAGGTCTTCAAGGGTTCCAATGGTTACTCCTACCTATTCAATTTCATATCTACTGGTGTCCCAGGTAGGCTCTTTTTTTTTTCTGTTTTATCAACTCCTCTGAGCATTCTTTCCTTTCCCATCATTTTCTCAGTATCTCACCCATGTTGAGTCCATAAGAAACAACCTGCCTTCTGCTACATTCTCCTAGGGCAAACTAGTATAGTCAATCAATTTTGCCACTCAGCATGAAATGATAACTAAGGTTATCTTTTCCTTTGGAGGGAGATTGCTGACTCCTAGTCTTGAAAAAAAAATTTCTTTTAGTCTTGAATTTTTGTCCACCAAACGCTGGATTCACAGCTCAACCAACCATGTTATTTAAGACAATGTGGTATAGTGCAATGGACTTGGGAGACAGGAAGCCCTCAGTTTAAAATCCTTCCTCAGATACCTACCAGCTAGCTACGTGACCTAGGGCAAGTCATTTAGCCTCAATGAGATTTCCTTCCTCATGGCAAAATAAGCAAGTTGGACTCAATGACCCTTACAATCCTTTTCAGCTTTAATGATATAATCCTTTAAGTGTCCCACCATGCTTAATCATAGGGATTAGGGATAAAGACTGGATCTGTGAGTTCAGGAGTATAAGGAACTCCCAGATGAGAAAACTCCCTGCACTAATGCAGGGTACAAGATTGTGTATTCATAACCTTCTGATCTTCTCTGTAAATTATAGTCTCACATGTTATAGTAGATAGATTGCCAGTCTTTAAGATAAGAAAAACCTGGATTCAAGTCCTGCCTCTGGCCATGTGACCCTGGGCTAGTCTCTCAACCTCTCAGAGTTGTAGGCACTTAATGATACCTACCACTAGTGACAGTTAACATTTATATAATGCTTTATATATGTCATATCAAGTTTATGAGGTAAGGGCTATTATCCCCATTTTTCATATGTGAAACCGAGGTTGAGACGGGTTAAAGAATTTCCCAAGGTCATATAGCATCTGAGGCAAGATTTAGACTGTAGTCTTCTCGAGTCCAGGTTCAGTTCTTGATCCACTACACTAATGGTTTCTCCTCATTTTTAGTCACATGTGTGGCATTGTTTGGCTAATTTTTAAAAATTCCATATGTAGATTACAGCATTTACAAGCCCACCTGTTGGCTACCAATAATGCTGCTTCTAGCACAATGTCTTTTATGTAGCAGGAACTCAATAAATGTTTGTGCATTTGACTTGAGCTCAATACCTTCTTCATCAGCCATATTTTGTTTCTGTTTATCAGAACTCCAATGATGGCACAAGGATACAATAAGGAAAGTGGTGGATTGTGTCCAGAGGAGGGCTGAATCTCAGCTCTGCCATTTATTTACCTATGCGATTTTGGGTAAGTCACTTCACCTCAGGGTCCTCACCAATAAAATAAGAGGGTTCCACTAAATGACTTCTCTAAAGTCGTTCCCAGATCAGTTTTAAGGAAACCTTTTATAATTATTAAAAGTATAGGCAGAACCACTTTTATCAGGTACAACACAACAGGAATAGGAATTAAAGCTATGTTCACACAAATGAAGGCAAAATCTACTTCTTAATTCTACAGTTTCTGGTAGTCAGGAGGAAAAATTCAAGTTTTTAATAAGAAGTTTATATTTTGAGCTTTTAATAACAGGTTTTAGATGCATTAACACGTGCTTTTCTAGGGTTTGCTTTAACAGAAAAAAAAGAATATGTATTCATAAATTGCATGGTCCTCAAGGCATTTAGCAAAGATCCAAAGAGAATCCCAGGGTAATGATAGGTTCCTGTTCTTATGAATTTTACTACGCTGCCATACACTTACTCATTTCACTGTAACCCATTATAAATTATTCCTTAAAGTATATAATTCTTCACGATTAAAAGAATCTCTCTTTCTGTGGATGAACACAATCAGTATCAGTACACAAGACAAGGAAGAGTTAGCATTCTGAATAACTGACACATCAAGAAAGAACTTAAACGTAGCCCAACAGTGACGTGTGGGTATTCCATTCATTTATTCATCTATCTATTCATTTATTTATTTTTAGATGGACTGAAAAAACTGGGGTATCAACTGATGGATCTCAATAATAGTTCTTTCAGGGGGAGATTATTCTGTCATTGTGGTCACAAAGGTACCCTAAAGTCCTTTGCATGAACTCTACAGATTTTGACCCTACTTTGTATCCTACCTGGTTGTTTACTTGGAGTTGGAGAAGGGAATATTAAACTTACATTACCAACAGACAAGTGTGATAGGTTTTAGTATCATAATAGCTTCTAGGAACTATAACATACGGCATTTAGATTATTAGGTACCTATCTTGTATTCGGCCCTTCTTTAAGCCTACCACATTTCAAAAGTTGGAAGGGACCTTGGGGGTATCAATAATTCTCTGAGCATGATCCTCTTCTCTAACATTCTCCAACAGAGACTCCTCTGCTTAGAGACTCCTAGAAGTAGCCTGTTCTATTTTGGGGTTCCTTCAGAGTTAGGAAGTTGTTTCTTCTGTTAAGTCGACATCTCTACAATTACCATTTATTGCTCCTATTTCTGTCCACTAAGGTCAAACAGCAAATCTAATTCCACTTTCACAAGAAAGGCCTTTAAATAACAAAACATCATTTCCCCTAAGTCTCTTAGAAAGACAGAATGGGTCTTACAGGTAATCTAGCTCAACCTATGCCTTTAAATACCAAAAGATCATTTCCCCTAAGTCTCTTAGAAAGACAGAATGGGTCTTACAGGTAATCTAGCTCAACCTATGCTTTAACAGAAGAGGAAACTGAGGCCCAATGAGGTGACTTGCCCAAGGTCACACATATAATAAGTGACAGAAGCAGAATTCAAACTGAAGTCCCCTGGCTCCAAATACAGCAATCTTTCCCTTCCTTTAGTCCAAGCATAAAAATAATGGCATACAGACATAATGTTGTTGGAGCTGTGAATTAGCACAACCATTCTGGAAAGCAGTTTGGAAGTAAGCAAATAAACTGGTTAAAGTAAATGTCTGTCCCCACTGACCCAGAGTTTTCACTTTTAGACACAGACATAGACAAGGAGGTCATTGACAAAAAAGAAAGGCTCCACATGTATGAAAGAATTTATAGCAGAACTTTTTGTGGTGGCAAAGAACTAGAGACAAAGTAGATGTCCATTGATTGGGGAAGGACTAAAAAAATCTTGTACTCTTAGAAACAATGAACATAATGATGTAAGCAGAGCCAAGAAAACAATATGTACACGACTAAAACAACCCAAATGGAAAAAGCAATAACCACAACATAATCAAAAATGAATGTTGCAAAATTACGAAGAAGGAGCATGACCCTAAAGAAGAGATATGAGATACTTTCTTATCAGGGGTGTGTGTGTGTGTGCATGCGCACACGCGCACATGTGTATACGCATGCATAATTTGGAAGAGTGGGAAACCACAGGGATAAAATACTGCATGTGAGATTTTTAAAATGTAATGATAAATTTTGCTAATTTTTTTTTCTCCTCTTCTGTTTTAAAAAAATCTTTGTTATACAATATGACTCTCTGTGGCAGGGGGAAAGAACGATAGAGGAAAAATCTACGGAAAAACAAAAGCTATCAATAAAATCTATTCTTTAAAAATAATATCACACATTTCCATAGTGCTTTCAGTTTATAAAGTACTTCATTGCAACCGTATGAGATGGGTAGTATAGTTACTATCCCCTGCCCCTCCTACTTTACAGATGAGGAAACTGAAGCTCAGAGAGGTTTCTGATTTCCCACAGGACACATAGCTAAAAAGCCAGTCTATGAACTCATCACATCCTCTGACTCTAAGTACAGTCCTCTTCCCCCCCTCCCCCATGACATTGCCTTTATATTTCCAACAACTTCCACTGATCCCAGCATGTCTTCATCAACACTTCTCTGATCATCGTGGTTTCATTCTTCTGTTAATGTTCTGTTAGTGTTAACACACTCCAGATTGTTAATGTTCTTCCTAAAATGTAATGCCCAGAATTGCATATGATGCTGCAGATGTTGTCTGACCAGGAAAGAATAGGAAGGATCATCACTCCTCTTGTTACTCTATTAATGCAGGTTGATATTACATTAGCTTCACTGAAAGCTGTCAAACTAAGCCCATACTCAGCTCGGGGTCCACTAAAAGCTCATATCTTTTTCAAATGAACTGTTGTCTAGTAATGCTACTTTATCCTGCACTTGTACAGGTTTGTGAATTTTTTTTTTAAACTTGACATAGGTATTAATCCAGAGGATTGAAACATGGGCCAGTTTTATACCTAGAAGCAGTAAGGTACAAATCCAAGAAGCCCCATATTCAAGGTAAGTCTCCATCAGAACTTCTATGTGTTATGGAGCAGAGAGGGAAGGGTCACACACGTGATAGTAATCCCAAATCCAACAGTTCCACTCAAATTTAAAGCAATTAACACCAGTAGCAAGTCTGTCTATTTAGAGTTTTGCCTCCTAATTAATTTTTTTAAAGAGGCAATTGGGGTTAAGTGACTTGCCCAGGGTCACACAGCTAGTAAATGTCTGAGGCCACATTTTAACTCCAGACTCCAGGACTGGTACTCTATCCACTGTGCCACGTAGCTGCCCCTCTTTTTTCTTTTCTTTTTTTTTTTTTTGAGGCAATTGGGGTTAAGTGAATTGCCTAGGGTCACACAGCTAGTAAGTGCGTCAGGTGTCACTCCAAAGATGAGATGTTGGTACATCTGTTCAGTGGCAGAGCCTAGTGTCAACACTAAGGATTCTGGGTTTTTTTTTAAACTGCCCAATTCCATATTCTAGCTCTTGAATTCTTCCTGACTTTAAGTCATGTGCTATTCTAAAATTTCATTTTCTCAAAAAATAAAACAAAGGTAATTCCTCACCTTCCCATCCCCAGTCTAATATGTTTTTAGTCTTCAGTTAAACTATAAAATTCCAGGCATTTCAACCATTCAGTAAACATTTGTTAAGCACACTTATGTGCCTTGTGCTAGAAATACAAAGACATAAACGAAACAGTCCCTACCCTGTAGGAGCTTATATTTTACAGGGAGAGACAACATGCAAATATAAAGTATATGCAAAGTATACCAAGAACAGCTAGGTGATGCAGTGGATAGAGGCTGGGCCTGGAGTCAGGAAGACTCATCTTCCTGAGTTCAAATCTGCCCTCAGACACTTACTGGCTGTGTGACCCTGGGCAAGTCACTTAACCCTGTTTGCCTCAGTTTCCTCATCATAAAATGAGCTGGAGAAGGAAATGGCAAACCACTCCAGGATCCAAATGGGGTTACGAGAGTCAGACACAACTGAAAACAACTGAACAATAACATGCAAAATATTCACAGGTCAAATACAGAGTAATTTGGGGGAGGCACTAATATCTGGGGGAATGAGGATAAGCCTTATTTGGTATGTGGTACTCTAACAGAGCTTTGAAGGAAATTAGGGATTCTAAGAGATGAGGGTAAAGAAGGAGTGCATTCCAGGTAAGGGAAACAGGCCATGGAGAGACAGAAGATGCAATGCTGTTTTGGAGGAACAGCACAAAGACTGGAAAGGTAGGTTCGGTGAGGTTGTGAGGAGTTTTAAATGCCAGACACTTCGGAACATTTTAATCTTTGGGATAAAATGCCAACTACTGATGGCTCTTCTCTTTAACCTTTTTTAAGTAGATTTTTCACTCTTTGAAAATTTCGATTCGATGTCCTGATTTGTGACACTGATCACTGAAAGATAGTGTACTATCATGGCTCTGGGAGTACTTTTAACTCAACAAAGTATAGACAAATAGGAATTAAAAATCATACAATTATTAATGAAATACAGTAGCCGATTACTGACACTACAGAACTGTCTAATGGGAAATTCTGCTGTGACATTGTAACAATACTTTTGATAACCATTAGATTCCTTACTGAGGGAAAATTAAACACAAGTGATTACATTATGCAGAATGAAGAGAATGTAGTTAATATTTTGAAAGGGAGAATTCGATCTGATGTTCAGCCTGCTCACCCTTTCAGAAGGCCAACCCTAGCATTTTCACACTGAATAATGCAAAAAAAAAAAAAAAGAAGAAACTCTTGTTCCGTTTCTATTCTTTAAATTGGCATGGGTTTTTCAGTTGGTATTCTTCTCCAGAAAAGAATGCTCTTGCCCTTGGAATAAAAATGAAATGGGTTCAATTTTGGCTAAAAAAAAAAACAAATGAAAACCAAGATAAAAAAAAAAACTCAGCCGAAATGTCACACTCAGGAATCATAATAAGCACTAAACATTACTTAAATCATGCAGAACCACTAAAATATATGGCCCCTTTCCATAAACTGAAAGGCCCAGTATTCAGCAGATTATTGGTCTCGCCTGCTGAACTCAGGGAAGCCCCAAAGCAGCCCAGGACTTAGTAGTCCTGAAGATTAGTTCTGGTCTGTGTACCTTCCTCTCCAAGCAAGCGATGGAATTTATGTAGAAATATAAATGGGAGAAATATATGTGGTGGCAGCATTGAATAATGGAGACACTGCTTGACTTGGATTCAAATCCAGGCTCTGCCACTGACTATTATCCATGTTAGTTTGGGCAAGTCACATTGCCAGTCTGGGCCTCGGGTTCCTCCTACATGGACTTGGTGATCTCAGAGGTCCCTTCCAACTCTAGATCTATGATTCTATGAACTTCCAAGGCCTGGTTTTGTCTTCAACCAATCCAGCCGTTATTGAGCCAATTCTTCTTTTTATGGAGTTGTTTCAGTCGTATCCCAGCTCTCATGACCCCATTTGGGGTTTTTCTTAGCAAAGATAGTGCAGTGTTTGTCATTTCCTTCTCCAGCTCATTTTACAGAGGAGGAAACTGAGGCAAACAGAGTTAAGTGACTTGCCCAGGGTCACACAGCTAGTAAATATCTGAAACCAGATTTGAAATCATGAAGACGAGTCTTCCTGAGTCCAGGCCCTGCACTCTATCCACTGCATTACCAAGCTAAAGACACAAGTTAATTTAGGGGGCAGTTGTAGCTGGAAGAATCTGATATTAATAATATACAAATGCATGTGATAGAATCATGATTACTAACTGAACTGTTAGATAATGCCAGAAAACTCAATTATAAGTGAATCACAATACCTCAGCATTTCAAGTTCTTTCCAGCCAGTAGTTTTTCTATAGATGAAATCTGGCTAAATTAAGATTAAGGGCAGTTTTGGTTTTGTTTATTTTGTTTTGTTTTAAATCCAATATTTTTAAAAGGGCAGTCAAAGAAAAAAAGGAAAAAGGAAGGGGGAAAGTTGCCACAAAAGGGTGAATGTGGGTGCCTCGGGTCTTTTTCCCAAGAGATGACTACTATTTTCTTCTCTTTGTCAGTGTGGTACATTAGAAAGAATATGGGCTTTGGAGGCAGAGGACCTGGGTTCAAAATCTGATTTTATTACTTACTACCTATGTGACCCGCAGCAAGTCACGAAAACTCCCCCAGGCCTGGTTTCCTCAGCTGTAGGATCCTTTTTCTCTATTAAACAGTGTCCATGAAGTCACTCGCATGGTTTTCCTGCTTTCCCTCTACCCCCAAAAGACCAAGAACCTTGCCTCAATGTTCCATAACATAGGGCTCTACTGACGGGATTCCACTAAAGTGAAAGCCGTAACTGTGCGGCATGCATTAGACAAATCAGAGGCCTGTACAGAAAATGTATAGAGCTAAGAAGACATGATGGCATTCATTAAAGCACACATTCTCACAGAAATCTTTTCCCCGTGTTTTTTCCCTATTCCACCTTAGCATTGGGGAGGAGGTGGTACTTATCCGCCTCCTCCCCAAAACAACCCTTTACTGAATATCCCCCAGAGTTTAAAGCTGACATATAACAATTCATAGAAGCAGGTAAGGATGAACTAGGATGTGGAAGCTGTCAGACCAGCCTATCATAAAAGCACTTGAAATACTTCACCTCATGCATTAGTGGAGAGTGCTGGACCTGGAATAAGGCAGACCTGAATTCAAATCCTAATCGATAATCCTAATCACAGATTTACCAACTCGGACCCTGGACAAGTTATTTAACCTTCACGAGCCGCAGTCACTTCATCCAAAAAGTGGGGATAATAATAGCAGTGTTGTTTTGAGGAGCCAATGAGATCATTTATGTAAAGCAACCTTAAAGAAATGTCAGCTACTTTTATTCTTTTTTCCCTTTCCTTTCCTTTTTCAATTAATAAGCATTTATTTCCACTCCCTCTCAATCATCCCCAGGTTCAAAGGAAAATAAAACAACTCTTGAAATATGTGTAATCAAGAAAAAAACCCAAATTCCTGCATTGTCCACGTCCAGAAGACTGACAGAGACCTCCAAGGAGCTCCTGACAAAGGTGACGCATTCAAGATGCAGCTGCTGTCATTGTTACCGTCCATTTGTTGATATGAAGTGCTTTCCCAGGACTGTATTCTCTCATTTGACCCTCATCACAATTCTCTCAAACAGGCAGAGCAGGTGCTCTTCCCAACTTTCCACAGGACCTCATTCACTGGGTAGGACAAAGGGTTTGTTTTGGCTTGAAACTACAGATGGTCTCAACAGCACCTCTCCCCACCTCCCCCAACCCCCTACATGCACCAGCTATATAGGAAATCACTTATTGAATCAACTATAGAAACCTTGGAACATAAGGCAAGATAGAAGAGGCACTTATCTTCTGAATAAGGTGATATGTGGAGAGTTGAGAGCCTTGCTCTTAAGCCTTATTATAGACAGGCTGAGTCCAAAATGAGCAGGAGGTGGAGATGACTGTTCAGAAATGGTGACCTCGAGTACTTTTGTTAAAAAAAAAATGAAATAAAAATAAAAATGGAGAGGTTTGCTATTGGTCACTGAGCGCATGGCTGCTGGGTAGCAAAGACTTTCTCTGAAAATCAGCAGCCCTGCTCGGCCAGACAGGTGCACCCGCTAATTGCCAAGATACCCAGCAGAGTCTGCTAATCACTGGGGAGGAGGGCTGAGCCTTAGGAGCCCTTGGAAACGTTCACTGATTTGATTGTTTAGAACCACCCACAAGAGACTTCTATTTGCATTCCCGGAGCACTGGCTTTCTGTGGAAATTACTTAAAACACAGCTTAAGTGTTAAGTCTGAAACTGCATAATGTGCAGCTGAGGGTTTTATTATTATTATTTTAAAATAACCTCACCCAAGGCTGCCTCCTTGCAGGAAGCTCTGACAGGTTCTGTGGGGAATCTTGGGACAGAAGCGCATTCAAAGTTATCTCCTGCAGGGTTGGCAGGTGTGGGCTATGTCAAATAAATTTATTACAGTCTGTGCTAATAATGAA